TTTCTTGCTGGGTTACTGCACAGATTGGATAGGACACAAAGCACATCCAGATACAAGTAAGTAAGAATGACTCTTTTTATTTAGAAATATTTGTTTATTCCGCAGTTCAGCTTTAAATTGCCTTTCAGATTGCTCAGGTGGGAACACCTCGAAGCCTCAGCCCCCAGTCACACCTGAGTACTCTGTAGATCAAACATACAAAACACTCAGATCCCATGCTTTTAAGTCATCCTTGTTCAAGCTACAGGAACCTGAATGCTCAAATGTGAACAGATATGAATGTGGCATTTTTGGCCCCAATGACTTCAATTGTAGCACTTGAAAAAATAAAAAAACTGCGTGTTTCAAGAGCTCCAATAATTTATGGAGCTAAAACCTCTCAGCCTTGTCACAAAGAAGCTTCTGTACGGCATTTCACTCTTACAAAATGTGCAAACAAGCTGCTCAAGTGTGAGGGGCTTAGGCTCCATTTTACACTTGGGCAGCTAGGAATAGTGGGCAGACTTGGCGTGATTCCACATCATGGCAAACTTACAACACATTTGGTTGTCATTCATCCTGAATGGCACCCCAAGCGTGGGTTTGACAAAATGCGTGTAAAATCGGCCTGGCCAAGGGCCAAAATTTGGTCCCTGGGGTTCTTTGCTGCGATAAACGTTCATAGGGCAGCCTATTGCAGTTCATACTGTCCTATGTGTGGCGAGGAATCGCGTAAGAATTGCCCACACAGTGTCAAGTGGGAAAGTGAGTCCCCGATACGTTCACTGTGAACTAAGTGCCATTGTCATTACTGGGTGCACATTGCTTCTATTAGACGTTCTTGTTGAGTGTGTCACATGTTTGAAAATGTTTGTTCTCATAAGCATATGTTAAAGTGGTTGTAAACCCAAAAAATCAAAAAGTGTACTTCACTCTTGGATGGTCAACATAATGTCAGGTGTCACCCTCTTGATTGTCCTATTGGTCGGGTAGCTTTGACATGTGAACATTGCTTGGGCCGTGCGTGCGCACAATTCCCAAGCCATGTACACGGCTAAGCCATGCTACTGTGATTGTGGGGAATGTACAGGTGGGAGGGGAGTCAGTGATGTCACGACTCCGCCTCCTGGACACATTCACAGGGCTGTTAATGACACAGAGGTTACAACAGAGGTACAGATAATGTGATTTAGATTCTTCGGAGACCAAACATAACAAGGTGCGTGTCTTTTAACATTACCTATTATGGGGTTTACAACCACTTTAAGGATGAGTAATGGCTTTCATCTTTGGGTTGCATTCACAGCCTGTTCAAATATTGATACAGCTACTGTTGAGCTGTTTGTTTTTTTGATGCGGGGGTCTAGTTCCACTTTAACGGTTCACACTTTGATGTAAAAAAAACAAACCAAAAAACGGTCTTTTATTCAAAATATTCTCACTTTGTTCACAAGGTTAATAATTTTTTACTTTGAACTTTTAAAGCGGAACTAAACCCTCAGATTTAAGTTTCCCAATTCTGTAACATTCAAGGTATGCCAATGGTGATAACTGCCACAGTTTCCAGTGTGCATATGTCCATTCTTAACCAAACTTTCCAGCCCTCCAATAGCTGTGCGATAACTGATTACTTGTGCAGCACCGGGGCAACCGCAGAACTAAACAGACTAAGACTGTCCTTGGTTGTAAAGGATAGGAGGTTTTAGTTCCTCTTTAAGGGGAGAGTGAAGGAACAGTACATCATCTCTGTATTTACTGGTTCGCTAGATCAGGGGTCTCCAAACTTTCTAAACAAAGGGCCAATTTACTGTCCTTCAGAGTTTAGGGGGCCGGATTGTGGCTATTGGGAGTAGCAAAGGTCCTGATGTCAGTGGGAGGAATAGTACCCCATCTTTGGTGTCAGTAGGAGGAATAGTGTCCCATCTTTGGTGTCAGTGGGAGGAATAGTACCCCATCTTTGGTGTCAGTGGGAGGAATAGTACCCCATCTTTGGTGTCAATGGGAGGAATAGTACCCCATCTTTGGTGTCAGTGGGAGGAATAGTACCCCATCTTTGGTGTCAGTGGGAGGAATAGTACCCCATCTTTGGTGTCAGTGGGAGGAATAGTACCCCATCTTTGGTGTCAGTGGGAGGAATAGTACCCCATCTTTGGTGTCAGTGGGAGGAATAGTACCCCATCTTTGGTGTCAGTGGGAGGAATAGTACCCCATCTTTGGTGTCAGTGGGAGGAATAGTATCCCATCTTTGGTGTCAGTGGGAGGAATAGTACCCCATCTTTGGTGTCAGTGGGAGGAATAGCACCTGATTGCTGCTGTCAGTAGGAAGAATTGTAACTCCTTATTGTAATTGGGAGATATTGTGCCCCATCGTTTGTGTCATTGGAAAAAATGTTGCCCCTTCATTGGTGTCTATGAGGAGAATTATGCTCCAATTGTTGGTATCACTGGGTGAAATAGTGCTTCAGGGGCTAGATAAAAGCAGTCAAAGGGCTGCATATGGCCCCCGGGAGGAATTGTGCCCCCCCTTTGGTGTCAGTGGGAGGAATTGTGCCCCCCCTTTGGTGTCAGTGGAAGAATTGTGCCCCCCCCCCCCTTTGGTGTCAGTGGGAGGAATTGTGCCCCATCGCCGGTGTCAGTGGGAGGAATTGTGCCCCAAGGGCCCCATAAGAGCAGAGGGCTTCATCTGGCCTCTGTTTGAAGACCACAGGTTTAGATGATCTGAAATGTTTGTTTTACTGTAATCATGGCTCCTACAGACTTGGGATATTTTGTAACTTGTTACTTAATCTGATTCTGATGTTGAAATGTATTAACTTACTGGAGTCAGATAAGAGAGCAAAGTGCAGCTTACATCATCTTTAAAAAAAAACTAGATCATGGAAGTGAGGGAAGTGTTGTTTTTTTTTTTTTTTTTTTTTTTTGTATTTTTTTGCCAGTATTGAAAAGATGTCATTGTTCAGCTTTGAACATGGCGGTACACTTTTTTTGACATTTCTTGATGGCAACCCTCTGAATTTCAGTGTATAATGTTTTATCAGTGTCAGAATGTTGTTGCATTCAAACTTGTGCAGCCCTGTGTTAAAGAGCCGAGTATCTGAATCTACAGTCTATAATCAGCTCTGTGGGTTTGGGGAAATGTGATATAACACGGTGCGGCATATGAACTGTAACCAGGTTTTTCCATGCCACATGAGGTTAAAATGGTATTTGATCCTTTGATGGTTTAAGTGGTGTAATACCCCTGGGTGATTAATAATCATTCTGTTTAGTAGAATTATCTCTGCTTCAAGACTTTACGTTCACCAACTAGTATACTACTAGTATAGAAGGGGGAAAAGAGTTGAAGCAAGTGTAATGTATTAAGCCCTCATTTGAAGTCTAAAACTATTTAAAAATAAGCATTTGGTCTCAGTATGTATGTTTTTGAGGAACAGTTTTAGAAATGTTATAAATATTTTACAATATTTTTTTTTGTCTTGAACTAATAAGATCTTATGCACACGGGCAGTTTGGGCCAAATACTGGCATTTTCGGGCACCTAGGAGACACAGGTGCAGCTCCCAGTCCCTAAATGATGTATTTTGGACAAATGTTCATGAATGAATCTAGCCCTAAACATGAGCACTTGTTTCAGGGTCCAGCTGCCTTGTATTTCAGCCTATGTTAGATTTTGATAGGCTACTGGCAGAGGGGCACCTGTACTGCCTGGGCACCCTAAAATGCTTATAGGACTGTAACTCGCTGAAAAGGATGGTGTAATAAAATTTGATTCTACTCCTTTGTTTTTTTGTTTTTCTAATAGAAAGCAAAGAAATCCACTTTTGCTACCAAAGTAAAGCCCTTTTGTGTCCTTAAAAAATGTAATATAATTTGCAGAAACGCCAAAATCAAATAACGCTCTGGAACACGAGGGAATTTAGAGCAAAAGGCCTGGAGGCTGAAGTGGTTAAAAGAAAAACATTTAGTATCCTATCCGGTATGCATGTATATATGTAAGAATTTTGTTTCATTAAAAATGAGACCACCTCTGGCTATTCTTCATCTGCATGTTGTACCATGAACCAGAAAATGTCTCTAAATGTTCTGTCATGGTGCAATGGATGGAGTGGTGGTGCTTGTCTTCCACTGACTTCTGTTAGGAATTTGTTCTGTGTGCCTTTATTAGACCTGCTGGTTAGCTTATCTCCTTGTTTCAGGTCAAACTTGCACTGTTTTTAATAATTTTAGAAAAGTCTTTTTTTTTTTTATCCATAGGTTTTGCTTGAAGGATAACAGTAACTAACCCCTTTTTCCTGCTGTTACCATACAACACAATTAGTCCAATGCATAGCTGAAATCATATGGTGAGCTCCTCCATTGGCCACAGACTATGAAGGTTTATGCAGTGTTTGAGTTCTCTTTGCTGAGCTGGAGAGATGCCCCCCCCCATCTAGGGGCAGGCTTGCGTATAGATGTCTTCTGCATTAGGTCCTAGGAAGGAACGTAGAGCACTGTAGAATTGCATGGTGTTGCAACATAGTGCAGGACTGACAGTGTCAGCTGTTGCTGGTTCCAGGACGACGATCTGAGGATTGTACTAGTTCAGTGTAAATTCAGTAGCAGTTGGCCCTTCGAAGCTTGTTTTTTTTTTGTTTTTGTTTTTTTTTTTCCCCAATAATCCTTTAGGGCTCATTCACAATAGAAATTGCATTGGAATGCAGTACATGTTCCTGTACAATTCACGTGCAGTGTGATTTCAGCCCATTCATTTGTAATGGGCTGAAATTGCACCGCGCCAAAAGTAGTGCATGCACTACTTTTGCAAACGCACTGCAACCAGATTGCATTGTACTTTTGTACCATGAGATCCGGTGTGGGCAAACGTACTGCTTTTGCGATCTGCATTGGGGGTGTCTTTAACATTGCACTGACGTACTGAAGAGATTTCTGAAATGGCACAATTTATCACCTTGTAGACTAGATAAGAGTCTATTAATCAGGTTTGTAGATAAATATTTTTGTTTCTTTTCAGAGAAATCAAAATGGCCGATGACATTGACATAGAAGCTATGCTGGAAGCTCCTTACAGGAAGGTGAGAATGATCTGCTGCATAATTTTGTATTCAGAACATAGTTCTTTTAAAACTACTGCAGAAATGTAAACTAACACCCCTGGAGATCTCGTGACTTATCCCTTGGAGATGTTACATAACTTGAAAAGTAAATATTTACTGTAAATGTGATAATTATGTGCAGTAGTTTTGACTTCAGCGTGATAAATAAATGCCCATCTATCTCTTTTTGTAGACTTGCCTAACGATATATCACCTCTACTCCCATGAATTCACCTTTGATTCCAGTGTGAACTGTCAATCATAAGGTAGTAATTGAGTGACGTATCGCTGTACCGTGGTCCCCTAGGTAAAAAGACTTGCCTATGAACTGCCGAGCCTCGGTTTGGCATAACAACAAGGTGAATGCAGTGGTTTATGGGAAAATGGGGTTCCAAGAATATCCACTTTCACCAGCCAAAGAGCAGGACAGTTCAAGCAGAATTTACTCTGCATTTTTTTAAGCTTTTATTACATTTTTTAACTTTAAGAAAACTGGTGAAAAGTTTTGACATCGGGAAGCATTCAGCCTGTGAGTAATGAAAAGAAAAAAAAAATGACCAGATTCTTGGATCTCCCACTTATTTTATTTATATTATTTTTCTGTCATAATCTGATATGGCTGTTATGCTGTCCTGAGCCTTAAGTTCAGCAAAGTTCTTTGATTTTGTAAACACGGGATTCAAACTTTATTACCATATAGTGTAACTGTGTATTATTGCAAATTCTCTGTTTTAAGAGATGCAAATGTATCCATTATCTTTACTGGGCGTTTTAACTGTTTTGCATGCTAAAGCACTGAGAAACCCCAGTTTCATTTGCTCTATTTGTACATAGTCTGTTTTTTTTTTTTTTGTTTGTTTTTTTAAACACTAGCTTTGTTTGAATCCCTATTGTGGTTTGTTTACCACCACATTTGTTTGAATAGACAAGCCAGTATTTCTGTATTGTTTTAAGTATCCCCCTGAACTTATTGTCTGGCTTTAAAAAGCCTTAGTCAGGGATATTTCCATGTTAACAGGTGTGGCTGTAGGGCAATGTGTAGGTTGGACAGGTGCATATTTGCTGATTTTTCTTGGGAGTCGACGTTACTAAAGCAGTGTGAATCCCTGTTTGCTTCAGGGCGAGATGTGTGACAGAGGTGGCATCAAGCTCTTACAGTCCCAACCCTCCATCGAAAATGGGCGAAGATCTCAGGAATGGCATCGGTCACAGGAAATGGATAGTGGTTGCTGCTAGCGTGGCCACTTGGGGCTTAGGCAAAACCAAAGCCTTGGTACTCATCACAAGGACCACAGCACCCAACCATTTTGCTTAAACCAATACTGTCTTCCACATGTAGACAAAACTATCGCATTTTACAGTCACAGGATGTTCAACCACATAAGATAAAATACAGACTACTAAAACAAGTTGCACTAGTTAATTTTTAGTCTATGTAATCCACTTTTTACATCAATGTGGATTGCTTCAAAGTAATTTCCCATGTATATTCTTTCTTATAGCCTTCCACACACAGTTTTTAGCTACCTAGTCATTAAATATTTTTTATTCTCTCATTCCAATTCCCTTTACCCCTTTTACCCACTTGAAATATTTCCTCCTCGCCCTCATGATGTTCTTCTATCAACCCTGCTTAGGACGAGAATAAACTGAACAGTGCCAATGGACATGAGGAGCGTAGCAAGAAGTAAGTGGTTTCAACTTTATACTGCGGAAATCTAAGCAATTTGGCATGTGTTGTGATAGTTAAAGGATAAGTCCACCTTGGTGAATGTGTTACTCCCACATTTAGGGTGCAACATTTTCAGCATCTGCCTGCTATTTGCCACCTCGTGCAGGGTTTTGGCCACATGACCTTGTCATTCATTCAAGGAGTTCTGTAAATAACAAACAAGTACCTTCAGCCTTTTGCAGCTTATGGCTTGTAGTTGTTAGTGAACTACCAAGGTGCTGATGAATACTGTTGGTAGTTCATTGATCTTTATGCCTTTCAATAACTGCCTGCCCGTATCGCGGGTGCAAAACTGTTTTTTTTTTTTTATGTATGTGAGAACTTATCTTTTAAAGAAGCCTGTTAAAAAGTGCCAAAATTGAACATAGTAGGCCTACTAGGCTATTGATGTGTTGGCTGTATTAGTTTGCAGTAGCTCATAATAGTTTATTTTTGGTTTAGATGTCTTCTCACTTGCTCCTAGAGCCTTATTTATTTTTTTCAGGCTTTATTTAATTAAAGCATCCTAAACATTAAACTTCTATTCTGATAGTAGAGAATCTATATGACAAAAGATGGTAATTGTAAATTTTTGTCTTACAGTATTTGTACAAATCAAGTCTGTGTTTTCAGTTAAAAAATACATTAAAATGTTAGTACACACACAATAAAATCAATTTTTAAAAAATCTAAAAGATAAGATTGTTTGCATAAACAGATCTCAAACATGTCAAGCCTGGAAATTGTGTGCACCCGCAAAACCAGCAAACTAAGATACTTGCCTATAGATTTATTGTCTATGGACAATGCGTTAAAAAGACTTTAAAGCTCATAATCTGTAATGTACAGCACTGAGCGAACTATTGGCTCTTTATAAATACTGTATAATAATAATAAATAATAATAATTTTAGCCATAAATGGCCCTGAAATTCTTATTATTGTACCCTGTGTGGGGTTACCTAGTGTGTTTTGCATTTCATATTTATCCATTTGCATCTTCGGTGCTTTTTTTGTTTTTCCATGATTGCCTTGACATGTTAAACTGTACGAATGGATCTTTTTTAAACAGCCTAACTTTAGATTTAATTATGTTTGCTGTAATGCCAATTTTGTAGGGAAAAAGTGATGGTAGAAACTTTCCCCTTGCATATAGGGTTCAAATCTTTGATATTTTTGACTAGTGAAATTAGCTAAAAATAAAGATTAGACATATAGAGCACAAATGTTCTGGTTTTGTGCATCTCTAGCCCATACTTTTGTAGCAAAACATTAATTAAATAGTCAGGAGCATGCTTTTTTTTTTTTTTCCCCCTTTTTTTTTTTTTAAACAGTGTAGCTGTCGATAATGTTGCAGGTCCTTTCCGCTGCTCTCCTTAGCTTATGAGGACTATACTGTATATTATATCAAAAATCTGCATGTAAATGCAGTATTTAGCTATGTAGATGTGGTTTGGCAGTGGTAGCAATCATGTCTGTTTTAGTATGACTGTAAATGTTTATAATTTTACCTTTTTAAGGAAAAAGAAAAGCAAAAGCAGGAGTCGCAGTCGAGAGCGGAAACGCAGCCGAAGCAAGACTCGTAAGCATAGTAAGGAGCGGGAGAGAAAAAGAAGCAGAAGCAGAGAGAAAAAACGTAGCCGCAGTAAAGAACGACGAAGGAGCCGTTCGAGAAGTAGGGATCGTAGATTCAGAGGTCGATACAGAAGCCCATAGTACGTTGAGTCTTGTGTGATCTTTTCTCCCTTCACAATAGTTCTTAGTTGTATTAAAGAACATTGCCCTAAGTGGTTTAATCCAGTAGAATAAACAGTAGCCTTAGAACTATTTCTTCTGCCAGGTTTTTATAACTTTTTTGCTTTTTAAGGAGACACCTATCCATGTGATAAAAGGCGGTAAAGGGTTCCATTCTACAAGTAGGATTTACAGAACTTGCATATTTTTGTGGATGCCTGTTTGAATATGTAATGTAACAAGCTTTTTGAAATGCCATCCCAGATTATGTTTTAAGTTGGGGTAATTTTAGTATTTGTCAATCTAAAATTAGTGGCTATCTTTTTTGAATGTAGCTATATAGTATTCATTCAGGGTCAAAAAACTTATATAATAACTTTTTTTATTTTTTTTCCCCCCTTCACAAAGCTCTGGACCAAAATTTGGAGGTCCCATGCGTGGAAAGATGGGAGGAGGAGTACCACATGGTGTGAAGCTGAGGTCTGTTATTGTTTTTTTCTGTCAGTGCTCATACATTTTGAGTGCAGAAGTGCGTTTTATAACTTCACTGTCTTGAATTTTAGGCGGAGGTCAAAGAGCAGAAGTCCTCAAAAGAGAGAGAAAAGCCCTGTAAGGTATGTGCGTTTATCCTATTTAAATATTTAGCAGATGCTCCAAAATTTATATATGTATGCAATAGAAAGTTCAGGCAAGATGAAGGTGGAAAGGACGACCTGTGGACCTTCTCACACCCGCCAATCAAATTTTGGCTTCAAGGAGCCTACATGTCAGAGGAAAGAGGTTGTTTAGCTGGTTTGTGTTGACCTTTGTTCTTTGCAACAACTAACAAAGATCTTTAGCCTCTGTTCACACTATGAACCACATGTAAATTGCATAGGAACCGCACCACATTCTTGTGCAATTCACATGCGGTGAAATTTCAGCCCATTCAAAAAATCGCACCAAAGACATGCATGCACCTTTTTCAGAGCTGCACCCCACCTGGATCACAAGGCCATTTTGTACCATGCAATTCGGTGCAGGCAAACACTACATTTGTGATCTATGTTTAGAGTTTCATTAACTTTGTATTGGTATCCGCAACAGATTGTAAGGACAGCGCAATAGGACTGCGGTGATGGAGTGCGTTTCTCGCACAGCATTCATGTGAGCCTATGCTAAAAAGCAAACCAAGTGAATTGATATGTTTTCCAGAGACCTTTTACCTTTCTAAGCCCCAGTTCACACTGAATACGACTTTGAAAACATTTCAAATTTGCATGTCGGTGCGGCTTCATGTGCCACTTGTAAGACATCTGTGTGACTTTATGCATAATGTCTATGCAAGCCACACCCGAAATCGGCAAAAGTAGTGCAGGAACTACTTACAAAGTCAGTGTGACTCTTACGGAGTAGCACCAATTAGAACCGTTCCATTGCAAACAATAGGGTGCGACTTGTCATGCCATTTGAACTGTCAAATCACATGACAAGTCACATTGGTGTGAACAGGATGTAATAGAAGGAATTTTGAGCTGTAAAATGTTTAAAGGCAAAATGTCACATAAGCCAAAATAGTTGGTCAAACACCAATATCTTTGGCTCCGGTGTAGAACATGGCAATCTTTCATCTGCAGGAACCATTGTTGGGCTCCAAATACTCCTGTATGCACCAGGGGAGCCATTTCCTGTGCTCAATGTTAACAGGACATCAACTTTTGAACTATAGGTTTGGATAGGATTTCCTGGACACATGCAATGGGCTTTGAATACATCTTATGATATCAGCAGTACTTGTATTTCAGAACTGTAAGCTTAGAAGGTTTCTTTTTAATTCACTGAAGGTAGAAATGTGGTCATCAGAACAATTTTTTTTTTCTCTTTTGTTTTAGAGAACCAATAGATAATCTTACACCGGAAGAGAGAGATGCACGTACTGTCTTCTGCATGCAGCTAGCAGCCAGAATCCGGCCAAGAGATCTTGAGGAATTTTTCTCCACTGTAGGAAAGGTAGGTTGACTAACTCCTTTTATAGTCTGAAAGCCGTTCTGTACTAAATTACTTTGACTGGTGATAGTGATTTAATACCTTCCATGCATTTTTCAATACAATTGCATTTAATATCTTCTCTTCTTAGGTCCGTGATGTACGAATGATTTCAGATAGAAATTCCAGGCGCTCTAAGGGCATTGCTTATGTGGAGTTTGTTGATGTCAGTTCTGTACCTTTAGCTATTGGCCTAACAGGACAGAGAGTCTTGGGTGTTCCTATTATAGTTCAAGCTTCTCAGGTAAGTGTTTTTTTTTTTTTTTTTTTTTTTTTTTTTTAATTCAGGTTATCAGGTTGTAGTTTCTAGAATTATCCTGCAGGTGTTTGTTGGTGTTTTAGTAAGTGTCTGAAAGTGATTGATCCCCCTTTTTTTTTTCCCCCAAATCCATCCCTGTGTGTTTGATCCAGGGGGGCTCAGCCTGTACACAAGGCCTTGACTTTATCACAAATCAAGATTAATCTCTGCTTGCTGGGATGCTAGCTTGAGACAGTTGACTGTCAGGCAGCAGGGTATTTGAACTTGGAGAAACGTTAAGGCCCTGTGTGCAGCCTGGGCCTTTGATGTGATGATCTTCACTGCCATATCTAAGCTAACTTTAAGGCCAGGTCAGCTTCTGTTTATAAATTCTTGCTACTGAAACACATTTTACTGGTTTTTGTAGTAGAATTCAGAGTTTATTTAATACGTTTTGTTCACTTTTTGCTCTTGTACTATTATACATTTTATTGTGGCATTTTCCAGATTTCTATCTGTAGGAATGTTTTTACTGTCAAAATATAGAGCAAGTGAAGCCAGTTGTCTAGCTGTGTTAAACTCATAACATTAGATCAGTTACTTTTAGCTTGTACAAGGAGTGCCCTCCTAACCCTCTTATATTGAACTGTATTGTTGCTGTATTGTCTCCGTTGTAAAGTGCAGAGCAAACTGTTAGCGCTATATAAACCCTGTATAATAATACAAGGTACAGCAGTGTTAGTTTTACAGCTGTGCAGAGCATTAAAGGAAGCAAATACAGATTTACTGCTTATATTGGCTGTATTTAAAACCACATTTAAAGCCTAACATCTTGTTTTTGTGACTTTTAAATAGTTCATATGGACCAAGCTGGTCAGATAATTTCCTTAACTCAAACACGCAGTTGCTGTCAGCGCTGTATGTAGCCTTAGTTGCATACAATATACAGCACAGTGTTCCAGGAGGGTGATGGGAAGTCCTTGTGCTAGAACACTGTACTGTATGTAGCTGCATGCTTTAGTGATAGAAATAGTTCGTTTGGACTAGCTTGATCTAAACCTCTTCTTTTTTTTTTTTATTTTTTTAAAAATGGAAATGGGCTTTCATTTTTTTCTAACATATTAACTGGATTATGTTTACACCCACCTGAAGTTCGGGTATAACAGTCAGTTACAACTAATTTAAGCATTTGGTTTTCTTTTTTTTTTTACAGGCAGAGAAGAACAGAGCTGCTGCTATGGCTAATAATTTACAGAAAGGCACTGCAGGACCAATGAGGTTGTATGTTGGATCTTTGCACTTTAACATAACGGAAGATATGCTACGTGGAATATTTGAACCATTTGGTAGAGTAAGTACACAGAGCAATCAGTCTGCACTTGTTGACATGGTTTTTTTTCCTTTTTTTTTTTTTAATGGAATTTACCGTTTTTTTTTGTTTTGTTTTACATTAGATCGAAAGCATCCAGCTTATGATGGACAGTGAGACTGGCCGCTCCAAGGGATATGGATTTATTACTGTAAGTTTTGAGTTTATTACAGCATTCTTTTTACAAGGAAGAATTTAAGTTGACTGGTAACACGTTTTGTATTTGCAGTTCTCAGATTCCGAATGTGCCAAAAAAGCTCTAGAACAGTTAAATGGCTTTGAGCTCGCTGGGGCGCCCGATGAAGGTTGGTCATGTGACAGAACGTACTGATGCCTCAAATGCCAGTTCGTTTTTGGATAGTGATGAGCTTGAGAGAACTGGAATAGACCTTGGAACTACTGGTAGACTTCAGCTTATGGCAAGGCTGGCTGAAGGTATGAAAAGTGAATCTACATTTTCCTGGGTTGGCAAGTTGTTGCAGAGCACACAGTTCTTTTGGTGTATGTGGTATTACGGGTCTGCGCTTCATATCTTATGGATTTTTTAACCTTTTCTGTGGCAGGTACGGGTCTACAGATTCCCCCAGCTGCTCAGCAAGCATTACAGATGAGTGGGTCATTAGCATTTGGAGCTGTAGCAGGTGAGCAAATACATCTCTTGTAGCACATTGTAGTATGTTTTTAGCGCTAAATCTTTTTAGCTGAATCGTATTTTGTCTTCTGCAGATCTCCAGACAAGAATTACACAACAAAGTGAAGGTTTGTAGATTTTCATCTTGTTTCTTTGGATATGTAGCATTTAGTATTTCACTCTGGTATCACTTATACAAAGCACAGGCTACTTGAAACATAAGTTTTAGGTAATGTTTGCTGAAACTAAGATGTTAAAGTGCACCTGTAATTTAGTGGACAGTGAAATTAATGTCTTAATGTGTTTAAAATTTTTAAAGCCTGCCCTCTGATGATTGATTAACCGTGTAAGAGGTTTTTTTTCTTTACCTTGGGAAATTTTTGTGGTGGAATCATAACATTCCCTATAGCCTAAATATGGCATACATACACCGATCAGCCATAACCTTATGACCACCTACCCAATATTGAGTAGGTCTCCTTTTAGCTGCCAAAACAGCCCTGACCTGTTGAGACATGGACGATACTACTAGACCTCTGAAGATATGCTATGGTATTTGGCACCAAGCTTTCAGTAGCAGATCCTTGAAGTCCTGTAAGTTGCCAGGTGGGGCCTTCATGGATCGGACTTGCTTTTCCAGCACGTCCCACAGATACTCAATGGATTGAGATCTGGAGAATTTGGAGGTCAAGTCAAACTATTCTTGAATCATTTTTGTAGTGTGGCAGGGCGCGTTATCCTGTGGAGTCTCCACTGCCATTAGAGAATATGTTTCCATGCAGTGGTGTACTTGGTTAGCAACCGTGTAACATCCACATGAATGATAGGACACAAGGTTTCCCAGCAGAACATTGCCCAAAGCATCCCACATCCTTTGCTGGCTTGTCCTCTTTCCATAATGCATCCTGGTGCCATCTGCTCTTCAGGTAAGCACATGGACAGCCACATAATATAAGCATTGATTCTTCAGACTCGCCATCTTCCTTTGCTACGTGGTCTGATGCTCTTGTGACCATTGTGGACACGGGTTAGCATTGGTACCCTGGCTCGCTGCGTCTATGGGGCCCCATACACAAACTGCAATGCCCATTTTTCTGCTTTCAACACATCGGCTTCAGGGACAACATGTTTTCTTGCTGCCTAATATATCCCACCAACTTTCTGATGCTATTATGAGATAATCCTAGTTATGCACTTAACCTTTCAGTGGACATAATGTTATGCAGACCGTGTATATACAAAGGAAGTGTTAATGACATCTTTGCATATAGCAATCGTTTACCTTGCAAGCTGCTAAAAACAAATGTAGGCTGTTCCTTTGTCTTCCCCACCTCTCCTGCCATTGCTCCAAACCTACCACTAATGTGCAAGACAAAAAGCTATTGTATTATATAAACAATTGCTCATCTGCCTTACAGCCATCTAGTTTGCTTCCCAAATGAAGTCACAAGGAGGTAGCAAACAGTATTATACTGGATTGTAAGCAGTCGCTGCTCTGACAAAGCAAACGCTGTACACAGACTTATTCATAGATTCCCACAGCTGCTTGGAACCTTGCCTAAGAAAGATGAGAATATTTTCTAAGAGGGTGCAAGTCAACATTAGACAGTTCCTTGTGTACTCTGTTGTTTTTACCACCTGCTCTGTCCTGCTGGAAATAGGACTCTTTACAGTCAGATCAGTTTGTCCATCGCAGATCAGCAGCTGACTTGGGAGTCTAGACCTGCTGTGCTAGCTTTAGTTTGTGGTACTGCAGGTGGAGAAGGATTGGGCGAACATGAGAGAAAATAAAATATTCAGAAATAAGAGATCCCATGGGAGTGTGCAATGGAGGAGGAGGATTTCCCTCTAGTATCCCCTGTTAAACATACTGTTTGCAGCACGGGAGAATGAAAGAAAACGCTGCTTCCTGAGGAATCGGTAGCAGTGTGGAAGTTCTGGGCATCTATATTGCACACACCTTCAAATGGTGGTTGAAATGGAATCCTGTAAATCATTCCTGAGTTTGGGGAAACACGAAATCAAATCTGTATTTGTAGTTATCTGTAAGTTCATGTACGCTGGTATCTGTAGTTCACACTAAAATAAGAACAGTGATTTATTCTCTCTTTGGTTTCTGTGCACCAAATAAAACATTTACTGCTGTGTGTTTTCCAGGCAAATGCTAGGAACTGCATAAAAGCAGTGGTCCGTGATGTCCACGATTCTTTGTCACATGGATTTCTGCTGGAAGATGTGTGTACTTGTTTCTGTAACAATCGGCCAGATCACATTTTGGTGCAACATATAAATAACCATGGTGCTATTTTGGTGTGGAACTATATGGACTAGCTTGCAGGCACTTGTGAACGGCTTTGTCAGTAGTTTGCAGCACCTGGCAGAAATATTTATCCTGTGATGGCAGATGGGATTTAGTTTAGTCTAGAGTAAATATGTAAACCATTCCTATCCGAAACTTTACCGGCAGATCTAGTTACAAGTTGTATAACCATTAAACCGAGTACTTTAACTTGCAACTGCAATGACTTTTTATCCCTCTGTTGAGAATATCTTTATAGCATAGCTTTGCTTTCTGGATTGTAAAAGAATAATATGTAGGGGAGACTATTGCTGGCCCAGCAGACGCGCACACCCTGTATACTGGACAGCTCAATTATTTTCTCCTTTAAAACATACAAGGGTTAACTTACTAAAACTGGAGAGTGCAAAATCTGGTGCAACTCTTTATAGAAACAAATCCGCTTCCAGTTTTTTTTTTTGTCAAAGCTTAATTGAACAAGCTGAAGTGAGAAGCTGATTGGCTACCATGCACAGCTGCACCAGATTTTCCACTCTCCAGTTTTAGTAAATCAACCCCACAGTTCTACTGATGTATTTTTTCTGTTAGTCCTACCAGTGTCATAATGGCTTGAGTAGTCATACATTTTTTTTTTTTTGGCAATTAAAATCCCAGTCCTGCCTTCTCTGGCCGTACATTCCTGTCTCTTAAATCTGAACTCCCCTCAGCTTCTCTGCTGAAGCTGCTCGCAAATTTGATTCATGTGTGCACTCCACTCATTGTATTAATCCTTTTTAGTTTAGATGTTTTCTTTCTTTTTTTTTTATAGCTCTTGCTGCTGCTTCTGCTGCTGCCATCTCGTTGACTTCAGCCACATTACCTATTCCAGCAACAGCAACTCAGCCACTCGCTACACAGTGCTTCCAGTTGTCAAATATGTTTAACCCTCAGACGTGAGTAAATGTCATTTCTGTGCTTTATATATGGTATAATTTTAGATTTTATCCTAGGGCATTTCTTAGAGCTTTTCTTTTTACTGCATTTTCCCCAGTATTTTCTACAATCCTGTCTGTGCTATCATCCTACTAAGTCCTGCTGCCGTATGACATCTATTTAGTCACTTGGCAAGCCTGTTAACATTTTACTAAATTAAAAAGTTAGCAAATGGTGGCGTGTAAACATCTGTGACTTGTTGGCTTACCTTGTATTTGCTCAATTTATAAAAACTGAAGCTTTTCCTGGTAGCAGCCTCTTTGCTACAGCTGAGAGATTAAGCCCAATTAATAGCTGTGGAAAATTTGATGTGTTTTTATAAATCAGAATTAGGCCTCAAGCTCACGGGGCTTAAAAAGATGCTGCTTTTACAGGCGTTTTTTTTTTTTTTTTTTTTTTTTTTTTCTGCTTGTAAACACATCCCTGTTAACCTATATAAAGCGCTGAGCAAATTGTTGGCTTTATATAAATCCTGTATAATAATAACCTATGTGGCTATGCACAGAATGGAGTTTACAGGTGTATTCAAAGAGGAGTGTGTACAAAAAAACAATCACCAGCGTGTTCAGGAGATCTCTTGTGCAAATAGACCTGGAACAGGCATAAGTGCATTTGTGCTGTAATACATTCTAATGGCCAGAATACATTCCTATTCTGTCCAGTAGAATACGATAACGCACATACACATTTGCAATGCATATCTTTTACAGCGTTTTTTTAAAGCAATGTTTCTCCTGCCAGGAAAAAAGGCGTTCAGAGGAGCTGATCAAATGCTCAGTGCACACGAGGCCTAAATGTTGTGCTTGGTTAATGTCTGTTCAGTCATGTCCTGTCCTTTTTTGTGAGCCCTGCAATTTAATTTTATTTTTAAATCAAACAGGGAAGATGAGCCAGGCTGGGACCAAGAGATAAAAGACGATGTTATTGAAGAATGCAACAAACATGGAGGAGTTGTACACATTTATGTAGATAAGAATTCGCCACAGGTATGTTTTATTTGAGCAGCTCTGTTAGGTAATGGTCGTCATAGGTTTTACTCAGTTTAGTAGTTTTATATAACTTTTGGGTACAGTAATCTCCTATAGTAAAGTAAACCAGTCCAGTGGTGGTGGGTGTTGCCTTTTCCATCCAGATTCAATATACTCTGTAATTTAGTCAAATGAGAGGATTAATACTTTACTTCCTCCAAGGCCTTCTCTCTGCAGTTTGGTATGTTGTAAACCTCTTCACTATCAGATTTGGTTTGTTTTTACACAGTAGCTTGTGGTCTTCCTGCTTTACCAGGCTATTCTGTGGGATGAATGACTAGTAAAAACTAAACGCTGCTTCTGCTACACAGGGGTGAAAACCCCTACAGGCTGATTTGTGCTAAACAATTTTTGTGTTATTCCCTTTTAAGACATAAATCCAGGATTTGGCGAGTCTTTACTTTGCCATTTTAAACAGTTACAACAGCTAAAGAACCTTCGGCTTTTGATAGTTCTGGGTGTATCGGATATCTGTTCCTCTGGTGTGTTTCTAGCCACTGGCCTCTGCTTCACCACTCTTGTCTTGTAGCAGCTGTGGGGAAAAACTACAACATATAGCAGGAGACCAGGTATTTGGCACACCCAGAAGCATTGGGTGCTGATGGATATTTATCTGCTGTAGCTTTGAAGTATGCAAAGTTCAGACTCATCCACTGGAGAAGTATTTAAAGGGCATCTAACCCAAAAAATATGCTGCAATTTACCAGTGATCTGATGGTATCATTTTTTTTCCCCCTTCTTTTGGGTCTACACTCATTTCCTCATTGTATTTGAGTACAGCCATAGTTGTTACTAAGGTTAAACTTCAAATGTGCCTGCCTCTGTTCGTTCCCATTACCCAGTGGATTGATCAGGCTTGTAGTTTACATAATGAGAATATGGTCCTTTGTGCTTTCTTTTAAGCTCACAGGAAGTAACAAGGACCCCACATTTATGTCAAGAACTGGGATTTTTTTGATCATGCTGAAAATGTTCTCAAACATACAGCCACATATATGTCCTGGTAATGTTGGATACTCACCCACCCAGCGGCTCCAGTGTTATCCTGCTGAGATCCTCTTGTATTCCACCACCTCTCGGTCCCGCGCTGCCATGTTGATTGTGGCATCAAGAGGCCCACTGACTGGCTCTTCCTGGTTCAGCTGGCACTCCTGATGTGGCTCTAGGCCCGTCTCCCTCCTTTGTGAATTAAGCAATATGTGACATGCATATCCCAGGAGGAAAAGGGAGGACCTTGCATGGTATTCACTTAGACAAATTATGCGCAAGGGGTGGCATTGACCGCCCTTCTTCCTTTTTTTTAAAAAAAAAAAAAAAAAAAAAAAAAAAAAAAAAAGAGGGGGACAGAAAAGACGACATTCCTATTCTGGCAGGGGAGAGGGTGTGGAGAGGAGGGAAGCCTCTCCAGAGGGTGAAGATCCGCTTTAAAGGTGTTGTGAAGTCACATCTATTACATATCCAATAACTCATTACAAATAAGTTGCCTAGCATAGATGGCCAGATGCCTGCCTGCCTGCCATAGATAAATCTGCCTGTCATTGCATCAGGATCTGATACTGGTTTATCAGATTGAGGCAGTGCATTTTGTGGTTTTCTGCTGTTTTTCCCTTTTAATGAAAAGAGGAAGGATTGGCAAGACTACTTGGATGAAAAATCTGTTGCAGAACAGTTTACTCCCAAGGTGTACTTGTGAATGGTCTGAGTGATCACAAACTGGGATAGGATTGAACTCGAATGGCACACCTAAACCTAGGGCTCTACTGGCAAATAAATCTCTTTACTACAGAGAAATGTATGCGCTTGTTGGCAGCTGTCTCATTTTTGCTGCTTAGATACGTAGTCCCTTGTTGACAGCCACCTCATTTTGCAGCAAATTGAAAACAATGATACTAATGAAAGAACCATCCCGAAACCGTTAAATCACTCGGCAGAGATGAATAGCACATGTAGCTCTAGGCTTAGTCTAGGTACACTGAACGGTTCTGATCCAATGTAATACTGCACTTCACTCTGCTGAACTGCTGTGATGCAGGGGTCTCCGCAGGCTGCGGTTTGCATGTCACTGTTTTGCATTATGTCAGGAGGTTATGAATGTCAGTTTTTCATGTTTTTCTTTTCCTTCACAGGGAAATGTTTATGTGAAATGTCCAACCATAGCATCTGCAATAGCTGCAGTTAATGCACTACACGGGAGGTGGTTTGCTGGTAAGTAACAGTTTATCACTGTTTTCTAAGTGGTTTGTGTAGCTATTTGATAGTTCAGTGCCAACTTTTTCTTTCTTTTTCATTCACAGGTAAAATGATCACAGCTGCGTATGTCCCACTTCCAACTTACCACAGCCTCTTCCCAGACTCCATGACCTCAACTCAGCTTCTGTTTCCTGTTCGTCGATGAAACAGACTGCTACTGTTTTGTACATAGCTTTTTTTTTTTTTTTTTTTTTTTTTTCCAAGTGTTGAGAGAGGAGAGAGTGTCGTCAGATTTGTCTTTTATTTAGCTCCAAATGAAGAGGAATGGATGTAACTTTGTGTAAATTCTAATACCTTAAAATGTAAAGGATGAATGCATTGTATTGGCTAACCAGCATTCAGCCCCATCCATTTGCTGTGCTGCCTTACATCCTGAAAGAAGTAGCTCAGACAGTAGAAGGGAAAAGGGCATTGGGGAACTGAAATGCCTGACATGTTTAGGTTTCACATCAGAGGACCTCTGTTACAGATGTTTAGCAGTTAATTTGTTTTCACCAAAATCTAGAAGACTGAGGAAAAAGCAGGGAAATACATAACTGCAAAATTTTTTTTAAGTCTCGGATATTACATTTATGTATCTGTGAATTTATTTTGTACATAGTGTCATGGTGTTTCTTTCATACCAAACAAAATCTCAGCTGTTTCCAGGCATTACTTTTTTAAATCTTGAAAGACTAGTTGAGAGCCAGATAGCTGCCAGGAAATGCCTGACGTTTTGTCTGGTTGCATTTAATCTTTTGCTCTTTAAGCTCTGTGAGCTCTGAAATTATATTTTTTTTGTTAATTTTAGTGTGTTTGAAAAGACTGCTTGATATTTCTATCCAACTTTCATATTTCAACTATCTTTGTAAAGAAGCGCTCAAAAAATAAAAGTATTTGAAAAAAAAGTGTTGCTGAAGACTGGAATTTCCTTGGTCAGATGTTGAGGGGTCAGTGCTTCAAGTGGAATGATATAGAAACTAAATACACCTGTTTAACCAGTTGCTGACCATGCTATAGCTGAATGTCAGGTGCAACATGGTCATCCAGTTCTGGGTATGACGCCCTCCCAGAACCACACACACACCTGGCGCTCTGTGATCATTGTCCTTCGGACACAGCTGATCACATGAGACAGTAATGGGCCAATCACAGCAGCCATTGACATTGTGATCAGCTGTTGTTGGACACAGCTGATAAGATGGCAATGATGGGCACTGTTGGGGCTGTGCTGATAATCGGTGCCCTGATTATTAGTGTAGATATCCTAGATTGTAAGATCCAAGGAGCAGGGCCCTCGAATCCCTCATGTATTGTTACTGTGCTGTCTTGAGTACAGTCTGCCATTATAATGTACAGCGCTGAGCAAACTGTTGGCGCTATATAAATATTATTATATTATTATTATACAGTATTTATAAAGCGCCGATAGTTCGCTCAGCGCTGTACATTACAAAGAGAGAGAGCATGTGACAACAATACCAATACAATGCAAAACATGAGGGGATCAAGGGCCCTGCTCTTTCGAGCTTACAATCTAGGATACTGTATAATAATGTGTCCCATCGCACTTGCCGGTTATCGGCAGTACTTTCCTCACTCTGTGACAGCGTGAGGAAAGTGCTGGTGATAACCTGCAAGTGTGAAAGGATACATCTACACTAATCAGGGCACCGATTATCAGTGCAGCCCCAATAGTGCTCATCATTGCTTCTAGTCAGTGCCCAGCAGTGGTGCCAGTCAATGCTTGCCTATAGGTGCCCATAATTGCCACTTATCAGTGCTGCCTCATCAGTTAAGGATAAAAATTACCTTTTTGCAAAACTTTATAGTTTGAAACTAAAACTTTTTTTTTTTTTTTTTTTCCAACATTTTTGGTTCCTTTTTTTTTTTTTTTTTAGCAAAAAAATAAACCCCAGTGTTGATAAAATACCACAAAAAAAATATATTTGTGTACGAAAAAATAAATAAAAATTTCATATGGGTACAGTGTTGCATGACTGCACAATTGTCAGTCTGAAGAAATATGGCCTGTGCAGGAAGGGGGTAAAAGTGCCCAGTAGGCAAGGAGTTAAAGAAGAATTATCATTACAACTTTTTTTTTTTTTATTTTTATCCCCTAGGAGACCCAATCTATGTACCACTTGGTCCCATTTAGATCTGTTCGGAAATAAAAGTACATTCTTTCTGTTTGGACAGGCTGAAACCCAAATATGGGTGTTCTTGTAGGGGGAGTTGTAGCCAGTACTGAGCCCCCTACCCCTGTGTTTGTCATTCTGTGTAAACTGCCTATGATCAGGTAATCCACATACAAGATGTACAATGCAGAGCTGTGTAATTTTGCCACCTGTCTCCCCTCCCAGCTCTGTCTCTCAGCCTTTCTCTCCCCAGCAGCTTCACATTCAGGCAGTCTTTCCCCTAGCTCTAATGCAGGCTATAGACGGTTCGTTTATTGGCCGATTTTTCGTCCGAAAGAATAATCGGCTGATTTTCGCACTGTTAGTGGGGCAATGGCATCGGCCGATTTTTGCGGTTCCTCATTTTGTTTATTGGTCATGCTGGAAAATTCGTGATTGGTGGCAACATCGGGTTACAGAATGAACGTCTATGGCTTGCATAACACTACACCTCCGCTTTTTCCAGGCAGTATGAGTGATGAGTGAGCAGTGCTGTTAGGAAGCTACAACACCCAGATTTACTCATTCACTTTAATTTGTCAGATGCAAGGGGAATTCTAGAGTGTTGCACTCCTGTCCAGTGGCACCTGCTGACAAGAGTCCAGCCCTGTCACTCCTGTATTATTTGCTAGTAGTGTTGCTTTCCCCTCCTCCACCAGCAGTGATGGTGGAGAAGGAGAAAACCATCTGACCCATGCTCTTCAGCAATGACAGCCTATCTTGCAATGGGACCCAAGTGCTTTATGCACTGGGGAAGGGTTAACATGCTTTTTGATTTGTTCCTAAACATGCCAAGATCTTTCCAAAATTTTTACACACTTGTGATCCAGATGTTCCGCCATACTGTATAGTCATATATGGAACAGCAGTCAGTTTACACCAGTCAAAGCGTCTTTGAATACGTACTATGAATCCATTCCTATATAACTAGGCCACTCCGGATTGGAGAAGAGCACTCACATTGCTGTACCATATTTGCCTCTCCCCTATACAGAACACCCGTTTGGGTCATGACATGTGAGCAAACTGCTCTGCAACACACGAGTCTCTCCTTTGTGCCTGGATTTTTTCCTTCTCCAGTCTATTCCAAAGCTAAGTCGGTGACCAATCTTTTTGCTATTAAGAAATATACAGTCATAGTCAAAAATACTGGCAGCCCTGTATTTCTGTCAGATAATACACCACTTCGCCTAGAAAATTGTTGCAATTACAAATGTTTAGGAATTCTCATGTTCATTTCTTTCGATTGTATTGGTATGACACAAAAAAGTGAAGAAACAAAAGGCCAAATCTGACACATTCCATGCAAAACCCCAAAAACGGACTAGACAAAATTATTGGCACCTTCTCAAAATTGTAAGAAATAATTGCATTCCAAGTTGGTGATATTCCTGTAATTTGTAATTAAACTCGTGTCAATTAACAGGTGATGACAATATAGATATGACACTGGCAACCAGTTACAATGGTGAAAACTGTACATAACCTTTCTGTTAGAAAATAGCAAAGAATTGAGAATTTGAGAACAAAAATTGTTGAAGCATGGACAATCTCAAGGTTACATGTCCATCTCCAGAGATCTTAATGTTCCTGTGTCCACTGTGCGTAGCATTGTCAAGAAGTTTACAGCCCACGGCACTGTAGCTAATCTCCCTGGACTTGGAGGAAAGAGAAAAATGTATCGAAGATTGCAGTGAAGGATTGTTTGAATGGTGGATAAAGAACCTCAATCAACTTCCTGAAAAATTCAAGTTGACCTTCAGGCACAGGGTACAACTGTCAACTCATACTATATGCCGCCATCTGAATGAAGGGGTGTTATGGTAGGAGACCCAAGACTGGAGTTTGCCAAAACTTACCTGGGGAAGCCAAAATCCTTTTGGGAGAATATGCTGTGGACAGACCAGGCCTTTAAAGAAAAGAATACAGTCAAACATGGTGGAGGTTCACTGATGTTTTTGGGATGGTTTGCTGCTTCAGGCACTGGATATTTGGACTCTGTGCATGACATTAAATCTGGAATTGCCAAATAATTCTGGGGTGCAATGTAGGACCCATTGTCAGAAAATTGGGCCTTCGTCAGAGGTCATGGGTCTTATAGCAGGACAATGACCCACAGCACACATCGAAAAGCCCCCAGAAATGGTTTCAGACAAAGCATTTGAGAATACTGAACTGGACAGCAATGAGTCCAGATCTCCGTCCCATAGAGTACCTGTGGGGAGATCTCAAAACAGCAGTTGGGAAAAGGAACCCTTCCAATCTGAGACCTGGAGCAGTTGGAGAAAAAAAGTGGTCCAAAATTCCAGTAGAGAGGTGTAAGAAACTTATTGATGGTTACAGGAAGTGACTGATTTCAGTTATTTTCACAGGGGTTTGCAAACAAAAATTAAATTAAGGGTGCCAGTAATTTTGTCCTGGGGTTTTTTTTTTTTTTTACACATCGAAGCCATTTTTGGAGTACAACCCAGAGGCCCTTGGTGCAGTGACTGCCTCCTCCCGGGGCTGGATTAGGAGCGACATGGGCCTGGTGCTGAGGATTTTGGTGGACCTTTTATGGAAATTCAATTTGCTGTGTACACTGCACACATGCCACAGTCCTTGTACCCCCCCCCCAAAAAAAAAAAGACTCCTATTTACTGTGCCACAACTGACACCCTCACAGACACATGAACCTGATGACAAAGGATCATTTGTTAATAAATGCTTCCATTACACATGCTTTTGTACACACAAAAATGATATCATTTTGTCTGGCTAAACCTAAAGAACTTCAGAACCAGCGACAGGTGAGACAATAAACACCTTGGTCAGGACTAGGGTTGCGCCAATACACCGGATGCCGAAATGTATTGACTGAAAATAGTGTTATCAGCATTTTGCCGATAAAAAAAAATAGGTGCCAATAATGGCTACTGAAAACGCATGGTTTTGCTGCATATTTAGCAAGGTCTAAGAGGCAGTGCGCAGATCTGAGGAGTAGCTAGTT